CTTCATTGACCATGTCGTGTACAAAGCCAATTTACGTGGGCCATCTTTTCGATGCGAAGACAACCCAGATGGAAGCATCACCTTGCACTACTATACTGGAAGACCCGGGCTTTACCCAATCGTGAAAGGCGCGTGGATCGCATAATTACAATTCTGGCTATTATTTTGAGGTTTAGGTGTCTTGCGTGAAGCAGCCAAGCGTGTATTCAAGCTCGATATTGCTCTAACAATCACTGGTCGCACACAAAGAAGTGTACAAATGGCCACTGGAGAAAGAATCGAAGAGCATGTCATATTTTTGATCAAGGTGAGAAAGAATACGGTTGCACTAAGGGACGGTGGCTCATAAACATATGACTCGCTGCCCCTTTTAAACTTGGTTTTTCCACCGTTGGAGAAATTCCCTCCTTATTTGTTATGAGAATTCACATCTCCGAAATGCAAAAATACCCATTCCCTACAGAATTGAGAAAGTGAGCTACGGAAAATATAATACAATTCTTCTCAAATCAGTCACGCTCAAAATTTTTCGGAATGCTTCAAACTAACGACTAGTATTATTTATCCTTTAATTCAACGGGATTGGCGGTTGAAAGGCGACCGCTCGCGCCCGCAACGCTGTCTGCGTCTCTCCCGCTAGTGTGCTCTGTGATCATTCTCTAGCCCTCAAAACCCCGCCTTCGAGCCAACAATCTAGTCGAATCAAAGGGTACTGGGCAAGTACCGCGATCCCCGCAATTCTCTTTAAGGCTCGTTCGCCACTGGTAGCCCCTCTTTCATGGGTTCAAAAACTTTTAGTTCAAAATTCCAACAATCTCTTCGAAATTCGAAGTTTCCCAGAATCAAAAATTTCTATAATTTTGTTATCGTAGTTCAGATTCATGAAAGGCGTTCACATTTTCATTACTCTGGATAGGCACAAGAATTTATTCACAAAGTTTAAGGCTCTAATACCTTTTCGAAAGCCCTCAAAACTTTCATAAAGTGGTTGAGCAAATCTGTTCTCCATTTCTAGACTACAAGCACCCAAGAAGATGGGACAGATTCACTAGGGAATGCGAGGCAACTCCCGCAGCAAGGAAACGATTTCAAAATTCGTCTAACCAACGAGGACTTTATTTCAACATTTCCATACCATTTTGTGATCGATCAGGATTGCAAACTTGTACAAGTGGGAAGGGAGCTATAGTGAGTAAAATTATTTTGTTAGCTTTGAGCTTAGAATTACTTTTCCTTCAGCAAACATGTCCCTCGAGATCTTCTGCTCCCTGGCACACCGCTGATTCGCGTGTTCGAAATTACTCGTCCACAGATTCCATTGGATTTTGATTCGATCTGCAATTTCATCAATGCTGTCTTTGTACTGCAAGTGAAAACGACTCCTATGGAATTTCAGAAAAGCGTGACCAAAAGGAACAGCCAAGTGCTGGATGAGTATGTTTACTGGATCTAATGACCATAGGTAATAGAGAAAAACGGTGAACTAATGCCAGTCTCTGCCCAAAAAGTATTCCTCTTCATTGTTTGGAGTCTGAAATAACAGCCAGGCACAGCATCTAGGACTTTGCCGAAAATCGTATGCTTGCTCTCATTCATCTGCATAGTACCAGACCGGATGACTACCAATTTAGCGCGCAAAAAGGCCCACCTTTGAATGAAATTCATCAAACAGAGTGATTTTTACTTCTGCAA